TACTACCATACGAGTATATGTAGTACACATTATACAGAGGGTGATCACAGTATGAATACTACCATACGAGTATATGTAGTACACATTATACAGAGGGTGATCACAGTATGAATACTACCATACGAGTATATGTAGTACACATTATACAGAGGGTGATCACAGTATGAATACTACCATACGAGTATATGTAGTACACATTATACAGAGGGTGATCACAGTATGAATACTACCATACGAGTATATGTAGTACACATTATACAGAGGGTGATCACAGTATGAATACTACCATACGAGTATATGTAGTACACATTATACAGAGGGTGATCACAGTATGAATACTACCATACAAGTATATGTAGTACACATTATACAGAGGGTGATCACAGTATGAATACTACCATACGAGTATATGTAGTACACATTATACAGAGGGTGATCACAGTATGAATACTACCATACAAGTATATGTAGTACACATTATACAGAGGGTGATCACAGTATGAATACTACCATACGAGTATATGTAGTACACATTATACAGAGGGTGATCACAGTATGAATACTACCATACAAGTATATGTAGTACACATTATACAGAGGGTGATCACAGTATGAATACTACCATACGAGTATATGTAGTACACATTATACAGAGGGTGATCACAGTATGAATACTACCATACGAGTATATGTAGTACACATTATACAGAGGGTGATCACAGTATGATTTTGATTACATTTCAACAAAACTTGAGTTAGAACAGGATATTTGTTTCTGTTTTTAAATATACCCATGTACATGTGGACGAGGCTTGGTAGACTTTGACTACATGTACACATAACCCAGCTTAACATGTGTCTTTGGATTATCGTATGTGTCCCTTCTACCTTTACCTGTATTGTTGTCCATATTATAGGTTTTTTAATTGCCTTTAATCGCAAGGTTACAATAATTAAACCCTTCCTCTCCTGGAGGTCAGTAACAGCAGTAATGGTGTTTACCACTGGGGGCCATTTCATCTGAGGAGTCATTATTGGTGTGAACATCACGGGCTCCCAGGGGCCTTTTCCTGGTCATGCTGGAACACACACACACACACACACACACACACACACACACACACACACACACACACACACACACACACACACACACACACACACACACACACACACACACACACACACACACACACACACACACACACATCACTCTCCTTGTTTATTATTACTATTTGTAACGAGCGCTGCTGCTAAATTGAAAGCCTTGTCTCTTATAGCTGAAGGGATGTTATGTCAGTATTATGAACAATAGACGCATTAATTGGTGATAAATCTAAGAAATGAACTGCCACTGTTCATGTAAACAGAAATGAGAGGTAACGACAAATCATTTAGTCTTCTTATTAAACACCATGGTAACCACTTTTCAATTATAATGTAGGAAGCATACACTGCTACACTGCTTTATCATCTATGTTAATACTTATATATAGAATTAATACTCTACTTAATGGGACCACACTTTACAGAAGTAATGTTGTGTTGTATTAAAGAACATTTCAAACTAGGGATTGAGACCATAAACTCATAGTAATTGTAAATCTGACTTCGATACAATCGGTCTTTGTTTTTACAACCAGAGGAGTTGCCATCTGCTGGCCATTCGAGGAAATGCAGATTGAAGGCACTTTCGTGTTGAAAACACCTGGAGTCCAGACTGAAATATCTGAACAAGTATTGGATAGATTGTGTTGAAATTACCGAGGTAATGAAGGAATTGAGAAGGAGGTTTATTTTACGTAGACTTCTTTGCTTTTTATGCAAGCAATGGAGTCGCCCTCTGCTGGATGTTGATTGAAATATCTCAACAGCTATTAGATGGATTGTTATAAAACTACGTACAAACATTCCTCTTCTCCACATGGTTAATGGTAATGATTCCTTAAATGTTCCTGTTTCACTACCAGGAAGCTTATATTTGTGGTAAAGAGAGAAATATCTAAAACTCTCTTGGAAATGAATGCCAGTAATGTTTGCAGCCAGTGGTGTTGCCCTCTGCTGGTCATTAGAGGAAATGCAGATTTAAGGCACCTTCGAATTGAGTACACCTGGGGTCAAGACTGAAATATCTCAACAGGTATCGGATGGATTGTAATCATATGACTAAGTTAGGTAATTAAATTAAGAAGAAGGGTCATTTGTCATAGACTTCTATGCTTTTTTGCAAGCAATGGAGTCGCCCTCTGCTGGATGTTGATGGAAATATCCCAACAACTATTAGATGGATTGTTGGGAAACTAAGTAGAAACATTCCTGTTCCCCTCATGGAATATCATAATGACTTTAATGATTCTCTAAATGTTCCTCTATCACTACCAGAAAGCTTATATTTGTGGTGTTGAGATACATATCTAAACTTCTCTCGGAAATGACCGCTAGTGCTTAACAGATATCACAATCTAATGGGACGCCAAGCCGCAAATGGAAAAATAAATGT